GGGCAGGGCAGTGGCCAGCGTGGCCGGCAGACGGGTGCTCTCTGCCGTGGACAGCTTGTCTGGGGACAGGGCTTGGCACTCTCTAGGACTTTAGGGGAAAAGCAGGGCAGGGCCGTCCCCCGAGAGCGCATGCTGTCCTCGTGTTGAGGGCGTCCCTGCACGGGAAGCGGGCCCAGTGGCGAGTCCGAGGGCAGGTGCGTCTGTGGGGCCACCCTCCTGCCAGGGCCGGCCGGCAAACCCCAGGGGGACGGGCATGGAGCTGCGGCCCCCCCAGCCTGGCGGGCTCCTTGGCCGCCGGGGACTCGTGTTTCCAGACGAGGGAGAGGGACGAGCCCTGGAAGCTGCCGCTGCAGGGCAGCCTCGCCGGGGGCCGTGCAGCCCCCTGTGGGCGGTGGTCACTCAACCCAGCGCCGTCTTGGGGCCGGGCACTGCCCAGCCTGCCCATCAGGGCACTGCCCTTCCCTGCCACCGGCCAGTCCCGCCATCCCGTGCCGGCCGCGGCTGCTAATGAAACGCTGGGGTCCCTGTGATCTCCCGCGTGGCTCACCGCTCTTAATGAAACGTTGGGGTCCCCCTAATTGCATCCTGGCACCGGCTTCCCAGACACCTCCTTCCCCTAATTACGGTCCGAGCCGGGGCTGGCGGCCTCGCCGGGCTGAGGCGGCCCTCCCGTCCCGTCCTCCCACGTGGCGCTGTCAGCTCTCAGCTGCAGGCGCTCGGGTGCCGGGTGCAGCGACGCCCTCCGGTCAGCAGCCACCCCGTCCGGAGCGGGGGCTGGGGCCTCCCTGCTCTCGTTAGGGGGCCACCAGCTGGCCCTCGAGCTGCCTGTGCCTCATCCCACGACTCATTTTCGCTCCATCTCGTGGTCTCCGACTCCCCGCACGGCGTCCTCTGAATATTCAGGTGTTGGGGTCAGCGTCCAGGTCTGCGTGAACCCAGGTGTCCAAGGGACATCTCGAGGTTCACGGCATGTCCACGCGGGGTCCTTTCACTGCATGTCCATGCGGGGCGCTTTGCTCCTGATCCCTGGTGCATCTGCAGAGCTGAGTTTCTGCCCCGCGGTCACCTCTCCGGGGAGGAACGGCCGCTCCAGGCTGACCAGGAGGGTGTGTGTGTCTCGCTGTGGCTGGGGGCCTCCGTTGTGGGCGTCTGTCTTGTCGACTGGGCTTCTGGTGACGACGGGTCACCCCCGTCTGCTTCCCCTGGGAAGTGGCGGCGTCGGAGTCCCCAACTACTACGGTGGAGGACGTCTCTCTCCGTCCCCCTCCGTCCTGGTCACTGGCTCCTGCCCCTGTGCCGTTTTAATTCTCGTGTCTTTCGTTACACAGTTTTCGCGACATCACAGCTCCCGCCCCCACGGGGCAGGATGACCCCGGTCTTCATGTCATCCCGCAGCCGTCAGCGTCGCTGAGGTGTAGAAAGGCCCCCGGGGACGGTTCCGAGTCGGTCCTCGCATAATGAGCCCGACGGGCCAGCCCGGCTTCACCCGGGACGCGGCCTGCCCCGGTGTTGCCAGACCTCGGAGAGGATGTTTTCCGACCCCAGCAGAAGGCAGCGCTCTCTCCCGGCCTGGCCTTGGGGTGCAGCTGCTGTTCCAGGCGCTACCCAAGCATCCGAGGAGGAAAATACCCGTTGACTGGGCTGGGGAGCAGGTGCAGACTCCAAGGCTGCTCCCCCGGGTCTCACGGGCTGTGGGTGCCGCGTCTCCCGAACCCCATCCTGGACGGGGAAACCGACCCCCACGGCCACCCCGGGCCCCCCAGCGCGCCCCAGGAGAGTCTTGCTGAGTGAGCCTGATGCCAACAGAAAAACAATAACCAACAGGGTGGTGGTGGGGGGAGATAAAGATCCTTCTCCCTAAGACTCTCGCCACCTCCTCGTGGGGAAACACAACGTCCACACCCCGGCGTCCACACCTCCTGGGGTCTAAAAGCCGCGAGCACACGGGAGGACCCGGGAGGGCACGGGAGGGCAGAGGTCGCCAGACTCTGGGACCGGGAAGGAACCGAACTCAGCAGCATTCCCTGCGCGTGGCTGTGCCGCGGCCCGCAGAGAACCACCCCCTGTGCACGCAGCGGACGGCCCCGCCGGTCAGCAGCGGGCGTCAGACCAGCGTCTCGCGCCCAGACGTTTCTTGAACCCGTGACCACGCGCCTGACCCTCTGCCCAGCTCCGCTCGGCTCTTGCATCTCTCTTGAACTCTCAGTGCAGGCCCAGGGCCATCCCTGCCACGGCTGCCCGCTCGTGGGCACCTACCTGGGGTCCTCTCTGTCCGAGGCGTCCCTGTCTCCGCGGACAAGCTGGCCAGCGCCACGGCGGAGGGTCCGGCGGCCAGCTCTGCTCTTAAATGCTCCTTCCAGCTGTCGGCCCCGTAATTACACACTCAGGAGGTGCTTCAGCAGCGTCCACTGGGGCCACGTGGGTGTGGGGACAGGGCCCCAGGGACAGGTGCCCCAGACAGGCAGGCTCCCTGCGGGGTGCTTGGCCTGGAGGAGGCAGGAGGCTGCTCAGGCCCGGGCGGGGCTCCCGCGGGTGGGGGCTGGGCAGGAGCAGAGGACGTCAATCTCACCGGGGCCGGGAGAGGCAGACGTAGCCGGAGCCCGCTGGTCAGCCCCCGCAGGCCACCCACGAGCAGCAGGCTGGACGGGTCTCCCGCAGCTCCCTGCCGGCTTCGGGGACGGCCCGGCCACATTGGTCTTGTCCTGCGAGGCGGGGGGACTGGGGTGACCCCCAGGCCAGGTCTGGACAGCGAGGACGCCCAGGGTGAGGGCGAGAAGGGCTCCGGCGCCGTGCGGCAGACCCAGGCTGTCCTGGAGGGGCGGTTCCGGCGCCGTGAGGGTTGCGCTGGGAGGTCAGCACCCAGGGGCCGACCGTCTCCCTGCTGCACGGCCCTGGGGAGCTGCTGTGGGGCCTTCGGGCTGTTGACCAGGCACAGGGGCCATGGCCAGGGGCGCCGATGGCTCTGGGCCACGGGGGTGCGCGTGGGGTGCCCTCAGGGCCGCGGGAGGCCAGGAAGGGAGGGGCTGGAGCTGGCCGCGTCCCAAGGCCCCTGGGTCCAGCCTGCTTGCAGGCGGCTCAGCCACTGCCCTCTCGGGACCTGAGTGTCTGGGCCCGACTTTTCACCTTCACCCGGCGCCCAGGACCTCGAGGCGCCCATGAGCCGGAGCAAGCGTGAGCAGCTGCCCGTGAGCAAGGAGCAAGGCTCCCCGGGGCTGGACGGGGCTGGACGCCGCCCCGTCCCTGCTCCCAGGCCTGCAGGGTGCAGCCAGGACACGACTGGCCCTGGGGCGAGGGAGAGCCCAGCCAGGCGGCAGCCGCGCCCGGCCAGTTGGACGGGCCGGGGAGCCAGGGCCGCGGGGCCGGGAGGAGGCCTCAGCGCCCGACCCAGGGCACACACCCCCTCCGCCGGTGACAGGGATGGCCGTGTGCTCAGCGCTCAGCTCCCAGGGGGGCCACCCAGGGCTCCCCCAGCCCAGGGCCCCGCTTGGCTCCTCCTCAGCTCTGCCTTTGTCTTCGCAGCCCAGGCTCCCCCCAGCCCCGAGTCCCTGCACCCCAGGGTCTCCCCAGCCCAGAGTCCCTGCACCCCAGGGTACCCCATCCCAGAGTCCCTGCACCCCAGGGTCTCCCCAGCCCAGAGTTCCTGCACCCCAGGGTCTCCCCAGCCCAGAGTCCCTGCACCCCAGGCTCCCCCCAGCCCAGTCCCTGCATCCCAGGGTCCACCCAGCCCCGAGTCCCTGCACCCCAGGCTCCCCCCAGCCTAGGGTTCGCCAGCCCCAGCCCCCCCCAACCCAGGTAGCTGCCCCAACTCAACACCTCCCTGCCGTGGCCTGCGGGGGCCGTGGCTCCCCCGCTGACCCCCGCCCCTCTCCTCTGCAGACACGGAGCGCCTGTACTCGGTGGTCTTCCAGGAGATCTGCGGCCGCTACGGCAAGACCTACAGCTGGGACGTGAAGGCCCTGGTGATGGGCAAGAAGGCCCCGGAGGCCGCCCAGGTCATCATCGACGTCCTGCAGCTGCCCATGAGCAAGGAGCAGCTGGTGCAGGAGAGCCAGGCCAGGCTGCAGGAGCTCTTCCCCTCGGCCGCCCTCATGCCAGGTGAGCCCGGCGCCCGCTGGTCCCGGCCCTGGCCCCTCGCGTGGCGCGGCCTCCGATCCCGGCCTGTGCTGCTTGCCGGAAGGGGGACGGTCCAGAATGTTCTAGGCTGCAGGGCCAGAGGACCGCGGAGTGGCCTAAGACCCTCCAGGAGAAGGAGGGACACTGCGTGGTTGGAATTCCTGGCTCCAGGCTCCAGGCGGGGAGACAGGAGGCCCCAGCAGGCCGGTCCCCAGCCTGTCCCTGTTCTCCAGGGTCGTCCGACCTGTCCGTCCTGTTTGTGTCTCAACCCACTTCTTTCCTTAATCCGTCTGGGGAGAGTTGGCGAGTGTGTCCACACTGAGGAGGGGACGGGCGTCTCCTGGCGTAACTTCCAGCGCTCCGGGACTTACGGGCAGAGCTCGCTGTCCGCCCGGCCCTGCAGGTGGCCTCCCGCGTCCACTGTGGTCCTGGACCCTGACATCGGCCTGCCCTGCAGCCCACGCCCCACGGCCGGCCCCGGGGCTCGCCCAGAAGCCCACATCGGGGAACCCTCAGCCCCTGAGGTCCTTCAGCTGCGCTCGCCGGGCAGATGAGTCCGTGCGAGAGCCGGTGACTCCAAGCCTGACTCCGAGGCCAGTCGCTCTGCGCCCCCAGCTCAGCGGGAGGCTCCGGAGCTTGGCGGGGGGCCCTTGGAGCAAGCTGCCAGGCTGGGCACCCAAGGGTCTGCGGCTGAAAGGCCCCCCCAAACCCGGGGCGTTTGCCAGGCCAGGAGTGGACACTGGGGCTCGAGCTGACACTTTCCCCGAACGGGCACGGAGCTCAAAGAGGAGCCCCCCACTTCTCCCCTCCCATCCCCCAGTGCTTGCCCCAGTCCTGATGCCCCTGGGCGAGGCCCCGGTAGGGGAGTGACTCCCCCCACTCCAAGGTGGCCCCACCCCTCCACCCCTAGGCCTCACCTGCCAGCGGCCACAGCATGTGGCGCCTGTTGCTCCTGCAAGGGCTGTGTGCTCAGCTGGTCAGCCCTGTGGAGCCCCCCATAGCCGTGGGCTCACAGCTGCCCATGGACAGTGGGGGCTTCAATCGTTCAGCGGCCAGTGCCTCCGCTCCCCAGGAGAGAGAGTGGCCGGCGGGTCTCCAGGGGCTGCTGCGTTGCAGGCCTGGGTGGTGGGTCGCCCTGGAAACTGATTATGATGCGGGGCAGTGCCCGTGGGCCACCACAGGGGCCAGCCCTGAGTGTGATGTCCATGTGGAGTGGACCAATCCCAGGGGAGCAGCCGAGGAGGATGCAGGGGTGTGTGCTGCCCGGCTTCCTAGCTGGCCGTGCTGGTGTGGACAGATCTCACTGGAGCCTCCTCCCCTCGGCGCCCTGACCGGTGCAGGCAAGGCCTGCGGGGAGCAGCAGGAATGTGCTCGCCGGAAGAGCTTGGGGCCTGGGGCCCGCGGGTGCTTGCCAGCCCTCGCCACTTGCCTGGTGGTGAGGTCGGACCGTGACGCGGCTGTCCTCCTGAACACACTTAAATCACACAGACAGTTCCAGAAAACAAGCACGGGGGTGGCTCTGAGCTTTCTGGAGCTCTGCCGGGGTGGTCAGCTGGACGGGCCGGGGGCTTGGCCTGGAACGTTGTCCAGACAGATCAGTGGGAGAGGCTGGTGCGAGGGGGGCAGAAGCCTCATTCCTGGCTGCGCTGAGATGGGGGGGGTCCTGTGCCCTGGGGTGACCCCGCAAGTGTGGCTCAGAAGGCCAGCACGAGGAGTGCTTTGCCTCTAGGGCGTGGAATTCTCCGAAATGTCGCCCTGTCCGTCTCTGCTTCTCCACCCTCCGCTCCCTGGGTGTGGGAGGAAGTGCAGGGTGTGGGGAGGAGGGTGCCTGTGGTAACCCACCCGTGGGGACCTGTGGGTATGGGGCTCGCCCGGGAAGGCCCCAGCCCTCGAGGACAGGAAGTCATCTGCGTCTTCAGCTCTGCTCCCTAGAAAGCTGCAGCCAGCCGTGAAGCGGGCGGCCCCACCTCGTGGGCGGCTCCTGTCTGTCCACCTCTGCCCGTCCGCATCTCCCTCCTTTTGTTCTCTGCTCTTCTCCGCCCGTCCCTCGTCTGCTTGTGTTTCCTTCCCCGTCTCTGTTTGATGGATTGTGGACCCTTGACAAGGCAGCTGGACATGGAGACTCTCAAGCATCTGGTGCAACAGGTTGTCCTAATCTCTGTAACCCGCCTTTCCGTCCACTAGGGAGCTCTCTGGACTGGATGTCATAAGACTAGAGATAATTTTTTTGAAAGGTCAGTGCTCTGCTCCTTCCTGGCTGAGGTGACCTGGCCCAAGCAGTCGGTAAAATCTGTGTCCGGTGAGCTGGTCATATGCACAGCAGCACGGAGCTGCCCGGGGCCGAGTAGAAACGTGACTGGTGATTTCCTGCCATGTTGGGTAAACGGCCTGACACCACTCTATCCTGTCTTATCTTCTGTCTTCTTACCCCCTCCGTGCCAGAGGACTGGTAAAGCCCACTCCCCGTTTCTCTGCTCACCTGTAAATGTTTGCCTTACGGTTTTCGAGCATGAGTTATCTGTCGCATATGCATTTGGAATGCCGGATCTTCTTGACGGATGGGCCTCTCTGTCCTCACTTATGGCCACGCTTTGCCCCGATGGGTCTGTGAACAAGGTGTCCCCGACTCTCTCTGAAGCAGCTGTTTCTCGATGTGTGTGTCACTTTTTAGCCTTCTATTTTCAACCTGTCTGTGTATTTCGCCTCCCTGTGGGCGCCACATCGCGTGGGAGGAGTGTAGCACTTGCAAAGCCGATACAGGGCCGCGGTCTGCTCACCCCACGTCTCTGCTGGTTTTGACATCCTGCAGCCTTGCTTAGCTCCTGTCTTCCTGGCAGGGTCAGCCTGCCTGTCCCCGTTTGCACCCTGGCAGTTTTCAGCGGGCAGGGATGTCCCTTTGCCTGCCAGGCACCTGCTGTGCTGCCTCGGGAAGGGCCTGTTTGTTCCCCAACCCCATAGGGGCAGGGCCAGGCTCTCCCGCTGCCCCTGTGCCTTCGGCTGACCTTGCTGGTCCTCATCCTCTCCCCAGCAGCTGTGATGGAATCGCTTCCTTGGGTAGGGCCAGGGTCGGGGTCCCCTCCGTGCCCTGACAGCCTCTCCCCTTCCCCCCAGGGGCCGAGAAGCTGATCCGCCACCTGCATGCTCACCGGGTGGCCATCGCTGTGGCCACCAGCTCTGGGACCAGCTCCTTTGAGTCAAAGACCTGCAGGCACAAGGACTTCTTCCGCCTGTTCGACCACGTGGTTCTGGGTGATGACCCTGAGGTGAAGAACGGGAAGCCGGACCCAGACATCTTCCAGGTCTGCGCCCAGCGGTTCTCTCCTGCTGCTCCTGTGGAGAAGGTGCGTCCCGCTGGCCGGGAGGGCGGCTGCTGCTGGGTCAGGGTCGCAGGCGGGAGGGCTGTGTCTGGAGGCAGGTGTCCAGCGGGAGGGCTGCGTCCAGGCCCAGGTGTCCAGGGGGAGGGCTGTGTCTGGGGCCAGGTGTCCAGCGGGAGGGCTGCATCCAGGCCCAGGTGGCCAGCAGGAGGGGCTAGAGCTGTAGGGACAAGGGCTGGGGTGCAAGGGAGGACCTGCAGCCCGTGAGGGTGAGCTCCCAGGATGTCCTCGTTTGTCCTGCCTAGGCAGCTTCTCCCAGACCCAGGCCCTGGGCGCCATTGTCCTCCCCCTGCATCCAGTGACCCAGGCCGTCCCCCCGGGAGGCTCAGAGCCCTCTGGCCTTGCTGTGCTCACATGGCGTGTCAGGCAGGGGAGCAGGTGGGACCAGAGCCAGATGGCCCTTGGCAGGAGCTCGTCCCCCCGCCCCCTGTCCCTGACTGTGGCTGCCCTAGAACAGCTGGGCTGTGTGACCCGTTGGTGTTGGGCGGTTTGGGGGCCTGGGGGCCCTGTCCCGCGGCTTCTGGGGTCCTCACGGCAGCACCAGCATGTCCTCTGGTAGCCTTGCGGCCACAGGGCACCCGGCTGTGCTGCCCAGACCTCAGGGCTGGGACAGCCTGGACCTTCCTTCCCGGGACCCTGCCGGGGCTTGCAGACTCCAAGGAGGGCCTGGTGGCACTGGGCTGTGCCCTGCACCCTGGAGGGCCTCCGGGGCCCAAGTCCCACCAATGTCCTCTGCCTTCCCAGGGTCTTCTCCAGCTGCAGGCTCTGCCGCTGCTGCCGGGGGTCTGCTGCCAGCTTTGGGGGTCTGCTGCCATCTCTGGGGGTGCAGTGATGCTTCTGGGGTCCTGCTGCCGTCTTTGGCGGTCTCATACTGTCTTCCAGGGTCTGGAACCTCCTCTGGGGGTCTACTGCTGTCTTGGGGGTCTGCTGCTGCCCCCGAGGGCCCAACGCTGCCTCCTCTGGGGGTGTGATGATCCTTCTGGGGGTCTGCTGCTGTCCTGGGGGCTCTGCCGCTGTCTTCCTGGATTTGGCACCGTCGTTGGGGATCTGATGCCACCTCTGGAGGCCCGATGCTGATTTGGGGGGGTCTGTGGCTACCTTCAGAGATCTGCTGCTGCCTGTGGGGTTCTGGTGCCGCCTTTGGGGTTCTGACGCCTTCTTCCGGGGCCTGACACCTTCTTCGGGGGCTTGGGGCCCACTATGGCGTCTGCAGGGTCTCCCTACCCCCTGTGGCATCCCCCCAGAGCTCTCCCCCCCAGGGCTCTGGTTCCAGCCCAGGGCAGGGAGGCCCTGGCACACGTGTCCACCAGCCAGGCCCTATGGGGGCGCTTGTCCTGGACACACAAGGCCGGGACTCCCCGGACACCCTCTCTGTCAGATACTGCGACGGTGCCGCCTCCAGCGCCAGCTCCGAACGCACGCTTGGGTCCGTGTCGTCCCACCGCGCAGAGGCCATCTCATCCCCGTCTCTTCCTCGCCCGCAGTGCCTGGTCTTCGAGGACGCCCCCAACGGGGTGGAGGCGGCCCTGGCGGCCGGGATGCAGGTGGTGATGGTCCCGGACACACACTTGAGCCGAGAGCTGACGACCAAGGCCACGCTGGTGCTGAGCTCCCTGCAGGACTTCCGGCCCGAGCTCTTCGGCCTCCCGCCCTACGAGTGAGAGTCGCCGGCCGAGCCCCCTGCTTTCGGGGCCACCCCGCTGTGACCCCACAGCCCTCCCCCACGAGGTCCCCGTGAACCACGATCTGACACGGAGAGAAAGCAGAGCAGAGACGGCCCCGGGGCGGACGTCCTGTGTGTCCCTCCCACCATCTCATTCTGGCCCTGTCAGAAGCACACAGTAGGGCCGCAGCTGGACCTCACGCCAGACCCACAGGTAGACGCACACGCACTTGAATGTCAACAGGCGTGCACGCCTGACACACACGCCTGACACACCTGCCCCAGGCCAGGGCAGGCCCTGACCCACGCTCATGTCTCCTCCTTCTTGGTCTGGCTGAAGCCCGACTGTAAGCTGCGTGTGCATGCGTGTATATGCCGTGTGTATTGCATGTGCAACTACACTGGCCTCCCGCGCCGCGTCACACTCCTGCTCCGCTTGCCCTGCAGCTGAGATCAGCCCGAGGAGGCTGCAGCTGCTCTGTAACCTGAGAACACCACGTGTCCTCTTGCCAGCAAGCGTCTGTCCTCCCGCTGGCCTGGCGGTATCTCCGTGGAGGCCCAGGACGCCGCGTGGCCGTGTCTCCCTAGAGTTCCACACCCGAGCTATTTGAGAATGTGCCTACCTCGAAAACATACTTCCCCCTCGAAGAGTATTTATTTTCCTACCACGTCCTCCGGTGCAAATACGGTGGGATTTCGGAGTATGTCCTTGGTCCCACCGTGATCTTAGTGTCTCTTGCAAGAGCTCGGAGCTGGTAGGAAACCTGCCGTGGTGCGTGTGCCTGCGCTGGATGCTTCAGTGTGTCTGTCCCACCTGCATCTCTGCAGAAAACCCACGTCAGCCTTCTTGGTCTCCCGTGAACGTGTGTCCTCTGTCCAGTCTCCCGCCATCCTGCTGTCACGCCATCCCGTTCCCGTGTCAGTTAATCTGGTTAAATAAAATCATGGGCACTTATTCCTACAATACATGTCTGGGATATGATTTTCCTTTAAAAAAAAAATCCTCTAACAAATGTGCCACATACGTGTGCCTGGCCGACCCTCTCTACATTTTATTGCCCGAACGTTGCACACGTGTGAAGTAGTTTATATATTGTGAGTGACTCACATGCAGCGGCACGTAGATGCTCTGCGGGGGACACTGGCCTGGGGTGTGGAGAAAGACAGCCAGCTGGTGCACCCTGAGGACACTCAGGAGCCCCGTCCGGGGCTAATCTTGGCCTCCTCCGTGCACCCCCCATCCCAGCCCTTCCTTTGAAAATCCTGACAATGAATATTCTCTGCTCCTTTGTCATGGAATAGTTGACCACACACCTGTGGCTTTATTTCTGGGCTTGCTTTTTTTTTTTTTTAATTTTTATTAGATTTATTTATTTATTATTAATTTATTTATTCATTTATATTTATTTTTATTAGATTTATTTATTTATATACTTCTGACTGGGTAAGTGCGGGAGGGTGAGAGGATTCACCAGAGCCAGAGCAGGGAACAGAACAGGCAGACTGACGAAGTACACTGCTGAGGGGAGCAGTGGGCGAGACAGGAGAGGTCTGCGCGCCATGTGGGACCCTCCCCCGGTGGCCGGGGGCGGCCGGGAAGCAGCCGGGGATCGAACCGGCGCTGCAGAGGCTGCGGGCAGCTTCGCAACCCAGCGCTCAACCGCCGCACCACCAGGGAGGCCTTATTTCTGGGCTTTGAATTCGAGTCCATGAGTCTGTGTGTTTTTGCCCCAGCGCCATGCTGTTTTCATTATTATCACTTTGTAGTATAGTTTGAAGTCGGGGGGTGCAAGGCCTCCCTTCTTTGCCCTTTTGCTCAGCAGAGTTTTGACTATTGGGGAGAATTTGTGATTCCACATGAGTGGCAGCGACATCTGTTCCACTCTCGGATGAATTCCGCTGAGATTTTTATTGGAATTGCATTGATTCTGTCGATGGCTTTCGGTAGAGCAGCCATTTTGAGAATGTCAGTTCTAAAAATAATCATATAAAACATGAACAGTGCTGCTCTCTGAAAGACTCCGCAGAATCTTGTGTTTGCACAGCGCTGGCTTGGGCCCTGCTGTCTTTGACGAAGCGTCCCGGTCACCTAGGTCTGTCCACGGTACGAGACGCCCAGCCTGTTTCTGGTCGGTTACTTTTCCACGTGGTCTGTCCCCAGCAAGACCACAGACCCCAGGCGGTGAGACGGGCTTTTGCATCTAGCAGGACACACACACCCCAACCCCGCAGACCAGACCGAGGAATACCTCCCGCCAGCTCTGGCAAGATACGGGAATTATCCACAGCTCCGATGAGATTCCCCTTTCTTTCCCCACTGGGCCCCCACGCTCGCTCATTCAGCAATTTAAATTGCGCAGAAGGCCCCACACTGGCCGGGCGGGGCTCTCCGAAGGAGCCGAGATAAGCCGCTTTGCACAGGAGCAGCTCTCTGACCTCTTAATACCTCTTCCCAACCCTCATCTTCAAATAATGAGCCCAGCAATAATCCCCTTCCCCACTCGTGCCGTTGCAGCAGGTGTCAGGAGCAGGGACAGGCCTGTGGAGACAGCAGAGGCGGCCTCCTCTGCCCGGCTGACCCCACGGGGCCGTGGTCAGACTCACTGACCCCCTGTCCCGCATGCTGCTGAAATATCGAGGGGTGACACGAAATGACCCCTGGCCATGGCTTCAAAATTACCCAGCAGCCTGGGCGGGCAGAGAGGTGGCCGAGGCCGGGCGAGTGTGTGCGGTGCACGGGGCTTCTGGACTCTCTCACTAAATTAGAAAACCCCAACGTGTTCAAATCGCACCTGTTTCATAAACCTTCCCCTGGGCCCCTAATACAGGCCTTGTCCCCTCAAATCTGCTTATTGCTGTGTCCCCCACCCCCAAAATTCTCCAATCATGAGCAGAAAACAGCCTCCTCAGCGCAACAGCTCCTTTACGAGGGTTCAGCGCACGGTCTTGGCTGAAAAACGCCTTTCGCCGACATTGAGGAAATGTTTTGCTGTCTCTCCTTTAAGGCATAAACCCAAAACTATTAAAAATACGACTCTTTAGTCTTTGCTGCGATGGAAGGGAAGCTCTCCCAGCCTTCCCTTTTCATGCCTGTTATTTCTTCAGCTGTCCCGGCTCCCATCGATGTGGAAACTGAGCTCACACATCATCCTGGACTTTCTCCAAGTCCTCGAGTTTCACCCAGATTTTAGGATATTTGATCTTGGAGCCCTGCGGGCTGCCTGGGTATCCTGCTGCGGGTGTTTTAATATCCCTGCAATGAGCACACAACAACCCCAGGTCCCCATGGTCTGGGTCACTTCGAAACACGTACCACGTTCCTTCTCAACACAAGGTGTCCAGTTGAGGAAAATGCACCTCTAAGAACAGCCCCCTGCGTGCTCAAATCAAAGGATTGGAAGTTGCAAGCGCAGCAGCCTCCACGGGATGCATGAGCTGTCCAGGTCCATCTCCCCTGTCCACAGCGCACTCCCACCCACAGCCCTGGTCACTGTTTTCAGCACGAGACCGGGAGTCTTGTTTGCATAAATACCAGTTTGGGGACACTGAGGCCAGGGAGCTCCTGTTTGCAGCTCCTGGCGCCTCTTGGCACGGGCGATGGGGGTTCCGCAGCCCTGCCTTGTCCGTGTCTGAGTGTGCGCTCACCTCCGGGCCTGGCTCTCCGCTCTGCCCTCAAAGGTGCAGAGTGTGGCTTTGCCTCCACGTGCCTCAAATTCCCGGAGCCCCTCACTAGCTGCTTCTGCAATGCACAGCTTCCCCAGATTCCTGCCCCCCAAGAAGAATCTTTATCCGACTCCCAAGTCGTGAGATGCATTCCTCCCGTCCTTACGCCGTTGTGTGTTCGAGCTCCAACCGCTGGCATCTCGGTCTGCCGTTCCTGTTTCCATCTCGCTCACCCTGCGCGCAATTATCTGATTTGCGATCTCCACAGTCAGCTGCTCAGCTGCCCTGCCACAACCCATTATTTCCACCCTTCAGCCGGGGCCGTTTTTAATCATCGAAAACAGAAAAAAGTGGGTGATTAAAGCAAAAACCTTCCACGCCGTAGAGGATTTGAGACCGTGGGGACCGTCAAGAAAGGACACGTGTGTGAAAGAAATGAGGTGCTGCTCCCCCGGGAAGTCTCCACCTGCCCCGAAATTTACCTAAATGCCCTTTTTATGCTAATGGCACCCAGGATGTTGTCTTTTCACTTGAAGGCAAAGCTGGAATTTGGGTCCCTGCCAACATGTTGCGCTCCGGGGCGACGCCAACCATTTGCAAGGACATCATTGCGGTTGCATCAGACGTACTTGACGTCCAGGGGCTGAGTCCTTCTTCCTCCGTGTGCGAGGACTCAGATCCACCGGCAGAGGCTTGCTGGTCACTGCAAGGACACACGCGTTGAGAGTAACATGCAGCGCAGGGAAGAGCAGAACAGTCTTCGAGTGTCCGCTCTTCGCTAGCAGGACCCTCGCACAGCACTTCCCACTTGGGGAAAGCCACTTTGGACCAGGGGTCTCCAGGTGGTGGCCTTGTGGGATGGACAGAAGGCCCCGGGGTGCCCTCTACACACAGGTTCCCAAGATAAAGAAGGCGGACGGGCCTTAGCGTCCAGCCCTGCCTCACGGGAATGTTCCTGAGCCCCCAAGGAGTCTCCCAAGCCCATGGCCATCCTATTTCAAAATGGCGGGGCGCAAGCTCACATCCCGCCCAGCCCTGGCCCGAGATGCTGGGCTTTCGTCGTTACACCGACTCTCTTTGCCCTGGTGGACTTTCTATGGCCAGGCAGAGTAAGGGCCTCCGCGTGCTGGCCCAGCCGGTGGGGATTCTCCTTGTCTTCGGGTCCTGCAGCGCCTGCCCGTGGAGACCCCAGCGCAGGTGGACGCGTGCGAAGGAAGGTTGGAGATGCCCTTTGAGCCGCTCGTCGTCCTGTTTGCTTTCCACCCTCCGATCGGGGCCTTCACCTTGATGTTCCGGCTCCTCCGGGGACTCCAGGCGCTGTGATGTCCAGCTGTGTGTCCAGGACTCCAGGACTCCTGGGGGCTGTGAGATGGGGTCGGAATCGCCAGCGAACGGGAGGAGGGGGGCTCTGCTCCCGGTTTCTTCTGTCCATGGAAACCCCGGCCGGAGTTCTCCGGGCAGTCGGCAGAGATCACGATGCTGGTCCTTGCTATTCTCCAATCTCCTCGAGGCTGTCCAGCATGGCACCAGCGCTCTGGACACAACCCCAGACCCGGCAGACCAGAGACTTCTTATTAATTGAAATATCACTGACTTACAACCTTATAAATTCCAGACTCACCGCATTGTAGCTTGAAACCTCTCTGCATCAGCATCGCTGCATCCCTTGTCCAGGCCAGTGGCTCTACGGAGTGGACGTCCAGTACCTTGAACCGCCTTTTTGTCACCGACACCGCGTTGGCCCGAGGACACAGCACAGGGGCCAGGTCTAGAACTTTCTCTGATAGCCGCTGGCCGCGTCCATCCTCAAAGCTGTGTCTCCTTCTAGGCCGCCGTATGGTCAAAAAACATCAGACCTGAGCTTTGGTTCTACCTTTCCTGGCAAAGATGGAAAATCTGTCCCCTGGGGAAGTTTTCTTCGGGCAGAGCCACGCAGAGGAGGCCATCGTAGCTGGACACACAGCTGGAAGCTTAGCGTGGCCTCGTGACGGCATCCCCTGGAGATCCCTGCCCCCCAGTCTGAGCATCGCCCGCCCCCAGCGTCAGCCCATCCACCGTGGCGGACCCCAGACTTCCTTTTTTCTGCCCCAAAGAAAATACCTATTTTTAAGTGGTCTCACCCAGGGCCCTGCTGGCCTGCGCCCAGGCCGCACCCCAGAAAGTCGTGTAGCTTTAAGTCACACCCCCACCCCCAAGCAGCTTGCAGGGAGCGGCCAATTGATCGACAAAGGGAGGTTCCCTCGCGGAGCTGGAGCTCAGGTCGTCTTGGCGACCTCCCTTCTGTCCCCGTGGGCCCCCAGAACGCCGGGTCTTCGATTCTCC